GGCTCAGCACCAGCCATTGTGGCCTCTTGGAGTGAATCGTTGGGTGAAGATCTTCCCTCTCTGTTTCTCCTGCTCTCTGTGTATCTGACTTTCCAATAAAATAAAACTTTATTGAAAAAAATAATTTCTATGGTTCAAGTTTTAAAATGAGTGAAGGACTCGATGGACATTTCTCCAAAGAAGTGGAAAAGTGCTCAGCACATTAATCATTAGGAAACTGTAAATCATGACCACACTGAGACACTGTTTACAACCTACGAAGGTAGCTACTTTCTCCCTGAAGGAAAATAGGATATATTGCAGAGGCTCAGGAGAAGTCAGGACTCCTGTGCAATGCAGAATAACGCAGCTGCCTCGGGAAACGGCTTGTTGCTTTCCCCAAAAGGCGGACATGCGCTAGCTGTACATGCTAAAGGCTTATGCACTCAAAGAGATCCAAACAAAACACTGCTGGAGGAACATAAAATGTAAATACTATTAAAAAATAAAGAAGAGAAGAGAAAAAGTAAGAAAAGAAGGAAGGGACGGAAAGAGAAGGGCTGGAGTTGTGGAACACCACGGTAAGTTGCCGCTGTGACATTGGCATTGCATGTAGAGTCTAGTTCTATTCCTGGCTGCTCCACTTTCAATCCAGCTCTCTTTTCATGTGCCTTAGCAAGCAGCAGAAGATGCTCAGGTGTTTAGGTTCCTGCTGCATTACACGGATGACCCACTCGGAGTCCCAGACTCTTGCATTCTACCTAGCCCAGCCGGGAGTAAACTGGGGGATGGAAACGCTCTCTCTCTGACTTTCTCTCTTTCCTCCTTCTTTCTGTAACTCTACTTTTCAAGGAAACCAATAAATCTTAAGAGAGCGAGAGAGTTGATTTTTCCAAGCTCCAACTCCTCCATTTTCCAAACTCAGAGGACCTGTGAGCGACATTTCGCTTGCCAGACCGGAATCTCTAACTGATACTGAGTTGGGTGAGAAAGTGACGCTATCTTAACCTGCGTTCCTTTCATCCCACGAAACTAAGTGGAGGGGCCCGGCGCAGTGGCACAAGTGGTTAAGGTCCTCGCCTTGCATGCCCGGGATCCCATATGGGCGCCGGTTCTATCCCGGCAGCCCTGCTTCCCATCCAGCTCCCTGCTTGTGGCCCGGGAGAGCAGTCAAGGACAGCCCAAAGCTTTGGGACCCTGTACCCGCGTGGGAGACCCGGAAGAGGCTCCTGGCTTTGGATCAGCATAGCATCAGCTGTTGCGGTCACTTGGGGAGTGAATCATCGGACGGAAGATCTTCCTCTCTGTCTCTCCTCTCTGTATATCCGCCTTTCCAATAAAAAAATCATAAAAAAAAAAAAACTAAGTGGAGGTTCTGATGGAAAAGAAAGAAGGAAGAATGACTAATGAACGTATCAGAGACATAAATACAGTGGGACCGGTGCAGCAGTCTAACAGCTAAAGTCCCGGCCTTCCATATGCACAGGTTAAATGCACAGGCTCTAATCCCGATGGCCCTACTTCCCATCCAGCTTCCTGCCTGTGGCTGGGAAAGCAGTCAAGGACGGCCCAAAGCCTTGGGACCCTGTACCCACGTAGAGACCCAATGGGCTTGCCCCCCTCCACCCTTAATATCTGCCTAGCCCCCCATGGCTACTTTTAAAACAGATTTATTTTATTTTGATTGGAAAGGCAGATCAGATTTATGGAGAAAAGGAGAGACAAAGAGTGAAGATCTTCCAAGCATTGGTTCTTTCACCAAGTAGCCACAATGGCCGGAGCTGAGCTGAACTAAGCCAGGAGTCAGTAGCTTCCTCCGAGTCTCCCATGTAGACGCAGGGTCACCCATGTGGGCAGTGGGAACCCAAGGACTTGTGCCATCACTTGCTGTCTCCCAGGGTACACATGAACAGGAAGCTAAACCAGGAAAAGAGGAGCTTGGGCTAGAAGCAAGCACCCCAACACGGGATATGTGTGTCCAAAGGAGCCTCCGACCTCTGCCCTAAGCCTGCCCACAGAACATGCTATCCTGGTCCTGCCATCCTGCATCCTGATCACAGGCCAGACCAGTGGGTCCCACCCAGCCTTGGACGCCCCCAAAACCATGAGCTGAAATAAACCTTTGTCCTTTGTCACGAGTTCCTTTTGGTTATTTCCACTGCAGTAATGAAAAGCCAACCTAGACACGGGCCAGCCAGGCCCTGCTCCTGGGGTCCCATCTTAACCCAGGCCTGCATTCTGCTGGTTTTAGGTCAGCAGCAAGGAATACACTGTAAAAAATTGTTCTATAATTATTAATGATTTATTTGTTTTTATTGGAAAAGCAGATTTACAAGAGGAGAGACAGAAAGATCTGTCCATTGGCTCACTCCCCAAGTGGCTGCAACGGCTAGAGCTGAGCTGATCTGAAGCTAGGAGCCAGGAGTCTCTTCCAGGTCTCCCACATGGATGCAGGGTTCCAAGGTTTTGGGCCGTCCCCGACTGCTTTCCCAGGGCACAGTCAGGGAGCTGGATGGGAAGTGGAGCTGCTGGGACATGTATTTGTGCCCCAGACCCAGTGTGCTGCCCGTGCGGACAGGATAGACTCTGATATGTGTCCATCCTTCATAGAGACTGGGAGTGGGGAAAGAAGACAAGGCGCTTCCAAGGAGAACTGAGGTGTTCTTAGAGAAGAGCTGATGGGGATGCCCACCACAGACCACAGCAAAGTTACTAAATCCTGTGTCCGTCCTGCAGCGGGAGAAAGTGATGCCATCCCGTCATCGTCAAGGAGAGCCATGATTCTGACCCACACGGTGTGAGTTCTTGCTATAACATAGGTGGTCTACATGGATTTCAGCCTAATGCAGCGGTGGCCCATTTATTCAGTGCTAAGAAGGCCAGGTTGGCTAAATTGGTGGCCTGCGTGTTGGCCTCCTCTGGAGCTTAGCACGGGACATGCCGAGAAGTACATGGTTAAAAGAATCACCGGTGAGGCAAATCTCTCAGAAAAAGGGAAATTTCTATTCATTCCTGAAAGAATCTTTAAAGCTGCAACCCAAATCAAAGCACAAAAAGTATAATAACTTCCTCGGGGACAATTTATAATTAATCCTGGATTAATTGGCCTTAATGAAGTTGAATTAATTACTGGCTGTTTGTAAAGAACTTTGAACTACCCTAGTACAAAAATGGCATTAAAGACACAGAAAGGAACCAGCATCACATTAACATTAAGAACAAATCCCAAATAATCACAGCTTTGCAGGCTGTTTCCCATCAAATTATTTTTCCCAGGGACTGTGCCCAGCTAGTGGAACTGCTCACGTCCTAGGGGTCTGTGACAGAGGGGGCACATCTTCCTGGGCTACAGGTTTGGCAGTGAGTCAGTTCAGGAGGCGCTGATGGAGCACTGGTAGGTGTCAGGCCCAAGGCAATTCAAGATGAGGAAGGTGAGGGCTGTGCTGCAGGCATCCTCAGCAGTCTAGGATGGGGGAAGAGCAGCAGCCCGGACTCAAGCTCCCTGTACGCGCTGTCTGAGATGCTAGGACAGAGGCAAGGAATGTTCCAGACGCGGCTAAGAGCAGCACCTCAGGTTTCGCTCTGTGAGCACCGTCCCAAGATTCTCCGTTGATGCAGAGGCACCCAACTTTGCAGAGAACTGAGACTCTACTTGGGACACACTAGGTCCCCAGGTTTGGAGCTGATCGTAGCTAACTTGCCCCTGGGAGGAGACAGCCTGCCTGGGGATGGAGGCAGATCAGAGGAATGGGGTGAAGAAGATGGGCTGGTGCTGGGGTAAAGTTGATACCTTCAAGTCCTCCTCTGAGGATGATGAAGCCAGCACGTCTAACCTTCTCCAGACTGACACACCTCTCTTTCCTTCTCTCCCTGTCACTCTGTCAAATATATCTAAAAAAAAAAAAAAAAAAAAAAGGTTTGAGAGGTAGAGGCAGAGATGTCCTTCTGCCTCTCTGGGTGGCACGCCTTCCACGTTTGCCACTCACTCACTCAAAGCCTGGCTTGTGAACAGCACTCCCTGCCACCTCCCCCCCGGTCCTGCCAGCATCTCTCTTCGTTCCAAGTTTCCATCAGTTCTTTCTATGAGGCCAACATAATAGTGTTGAAGCTAAAAACACCCACAACACCTCTTTCCTTTTCATTATCCTGTGTCAGGTTCCTGTGATTCTTTGAAACTCTTACTACCTATCCATTAAGACGCTTAAACATGCCTGCTGCTTGTACCCTGGGTGTCTGAAGATGGAAGACAAATTTTTGTCTTGCAGGATGGGAAAACAAAGACACAAACTCTGGTTTCTTAGTAAGAGGACTCCACATTGATGATTTCACCTCACCCTAACTACCAGCCAGGGGCCCCCATCTCCAAACAGCTTTACCTTGGGGATTAGGGCTGTAGCATATGAATTTGCTGAAGGGGAGGAGAAGTGGGGAACGGGGAACAAGGTTCAGTCCGTAGACAGGATCCTTTTCTGACTGCAGAGCAGGCATGGCACTTTCCACAAGGGCCACAATGTTGTCTTGACAGGTGTCAGCAAAGTTTGCGCCTGGTCCCCGCAGTCTTCAAAGAATGAGCAGCTCTGAGAGGAAGTTGCCCTCCGTCTTCCCCTTTGAACCGCCGCGTTTATTCTCCACACAGGCTTTCTCGCCCTTTGGAAAGGTCTAGTTCAATCACTAGCTCACGTGGTTGACAGTGGACACTGTATCCCAGTGCCACACAACCGCAGTGCCTGCTATCCAGTAGGCACTTCATAAGCATTTGTTGAAATAAGCAGATGGATAGACCTAAAAATCCCCAACATCAGGCTCCTCAAGGCAAGAACATCCCAAAAGTCCGGTCCGGTCTTCGAAGCACCGGACCGGCCCCGCGGGCTCCTCCCGGAGGGCGGAAGCTTCGGGGCCGGAACGGGTGCGCCTGGCGCGCCGGTTGCGCGGGGGGGCCGCTTAACGGGCCGGACCGCAGCGGCACCCGTGCGAAGTGAGGGGCGGGCCGGGCGGGTGTCCGAGCCGGCGGTGGCGGCGGCATGGCAGGGCCGCGGGTGAACGTGAACGTTGGCGTGCTGGGCCACATCGACAGCGGCAAGACGGCGCTGGCCAGGGCGCTGAGTACCACGGCCTCCACGGCCGCCTTCGACAAGCAGCCGCAGAGCCGCGAGCGCGGCATCACGCTCGACCTGGGCTTCTCTTGCTTCTCGGTGCCGCTGCCCCCGCGCCTGCGGCCAGCGCTGTCCACGCACGGGCCCGAGCTCCAGCCCGGAGAGCCGCTGCTGCAGGTCACGCTGGTCGACTGTCCCGGGCACGCCTCCCTCATCCGGACCATCATTGGCGGTGAGCGCGGGCCGGGGCGGGAGGACGGGCTTCCGTGTCCCCGCTTCCCACGTGGGGGACCCCTCTCCAGCAGCCCCTCAGCGGCGGGTGGCTTTGGGACTCGAACTCACAGCCGGTGGATGCGGACTCTTTCGCATTCAGCGCAAGCCTAAGTGGCAAGGTGCTTTTGCGTCCCCGCCCCCTAAATGTGCCTGTGGTTGAAAGTCAGAAACTACAGAAAGGAGGTATGCAACAAGTCTTTAAGGCTTCTCCTCGTTTCGCATTCTGAGAGCCAACCTCTGTTCCCAGGGTCATTTCAGGAAATCCCACAAAAATACAAGCCAGTTTTTGCACCTCACCCCGTGTTGTCCGGGGAGTACTCTGTTTTAAAGCTCACACAGGCCAACACTTCTAATTTCTCAGTAACGAAGCTTTGTGCTGTTGGCAGTGTTTCCTAACCACAGTGTAATGAACATTCTACAACAGAAGCCTTTGGGACGTGTTTATTAATTCTGGAGGGTAAAACTCCTAGACCCAAGTGAAGGACATGGCAGTGTTTTGTTGTGGTGGGTACCTCTGAAATGTCCTCCTAAGATGTTGTCTCACTTATTTGATTAAAAAAAAATTTATGTATTTGAAGGCCGGTTAAAGAGAGAGAAGAGGGAGGGGAGAGAGAGAGAAAGAGAGAGAGCGCTTCCATCTGCTGGTTCACTGCCCAGGTGTTCACAGTGGCCACTGAGCCAGGTCAAAATTTAGGAGCTTCCTCCAGGTCCTTCACGTTGGTAGCAGGCAGCCCAAACTCGTGGGCCATCCAATGCAGCTTTTGCAGGTCTTCAGCAAGGAGCTGGATCGGAGGCAGCTGCGGGATACAAACCAGCACCCGTATGGGATGCCAGTGTCTCAGGCAGCAGCTTTACCCACTAGGCCCCAACCCCAGTCCCTTGATTTATTTTTAAGGTAATTGACGAATGCATGCCACTTGTGAACAAATAAAACTTAGGGAGTCAAATGGAAGTCCTAGTAGTTACTCCCTTCTCAGTTCTGGCCCTCCAGTCTTTCCAAATGACACCGCCATGGCTGCTGAGGATCACTTTTCTGAAATGTTTGGGAGCAGAAGCGTTGCAGATTTTGGATTTTGGGGGGACTTGGAATATTTGCATCTGCTTAATGAGGTCTGTTGGGGATGAGATCCGAGTCTAAACGGTGTATTTGTCTCTTTCCTGTGTAGCCCATTCAGACAGCCTGAAGATAATCTTAGATTTTTAGTGCGCTTGTGTTTTGACTGTGATCTGCCATAGGAGGTCAGGTGTGGACTTTGACACTTGCAGTGTCATGTTAGTGCACGAGATGTTTCATATTTTGGAGTACTTTGGATTATGTTTTCGGATTAGTGGTGGTCAACCTGTGTATGTTTGTGACTATCTTTCCAAACCATGCAAATTATACTGAACTCTACGGACACGGTTCTGAAACTTGCTTTTTCTTTTAGAGAATCATGATACAACAACACTGCAAGGTAATGGCACAGAAATGTTTACAGCTGAGTGAAGTGCACTCACCGCAGGCTCCAGTTGCTGACTGTGTGTGTGTTTGCATTTCCTTGTGCTTTTGCACAGTGGTATTCTCAGTGCTGACAACCATTTATGGCAGGGGTGAAGAATGTCTGACCTGCCTACTATGAGAGGCCCATCAGATCATTTGATTTGCTCCTGCCAAAGCAACTGTAGGTGGGACTTGAAGTTCAGTAAATCTATAGCAGGCTAATTTTTAAATTGGTAATTTCATATGGCCTGCAAGTGATGTTATAAATATCCAAATAGCCTTGGCTGAAAAAGGTCCCCCACCCCGTCTTGAGGGAGTTGGTGTCAGGTGAATGGTTTGAGGCTGCCATGGTCACTGGACAGGCTGGATCCCAGCGGTAACGGCGAGTCTGTTAAGCTCTTTGCTCTGCTGCCTTCCCCCTCGTCCATGCCCCAAGCATTCTGAGAGCATTCCTCCAGTTAATGGGAGGGGAAGTGGGGTCCAAAGAGGTTGGTGGGCTTGTTCTAGGTCACATGATCCCAAGTCTGCTCAATCCGTGTTTCAGACATTGCGCCAGTGTTTGGAGGCACCATTTGATTCTCCAACCTTCCTCCCTTGTAACTGGCTTCTGTTTGGTCACTTAGTACCTGTAAGCATATTCTGAGCCAATCTGTATTGGACGTGGAAGCCCTAGGTTAAACAGAGTGAAGCAGATTCTTAGTTTTCTGTAGTAACTGCTGCTGTCTGTTAGATGAGGAGTTGACTTAGGCTGCTACACTGGTGAAGAAGCCATATGCACTCAGTTGGAAGCACACTTTGCAACTTTGCAATCTTTCTTCCCCTGCACTAGCACTGTGTCCCAGTCCTCTCCTGGCTGCTGTGTGTGCAATAAGTGAGTGCAGCTGGCAGTCAGCCTCGCAGCCACAGTCACAGGGAGAGGACAAGCAGCACTCTACAGTGTGCTGAGCTGTGATGACCGATGGGCAGGTGCATGGAGCATGTTTTCAACTTTCTGTGTTTTAACTTAAGAGTAAGTTTCTCAGGATGGTACCCTGCTATTGAATTGAAGTATCTGGAGCACAGGTGAGTGGTGAAGGACATGCTTTCAGAGGCAGACAGAGGAGCTGCACTTGAAGCCTCACTAGTGCTGTGACCTTTGAACCTAGCTCTGGACCTTCCACGTGCAAATAATGGCCAGCACATAGCTACTCCCTGGTTTGGCTCTTCTTGCCTGCTTGCTGCTTCCTGCATGCCCTGCTGAATGTGGTGGTTGCTATTCTTACAGAGGCAGTTGGGGAGTGGCATAGTCCGGGGTCTATCCAACTCCAAGGACAGGGTCCTTTCCCTGCTCTCCAGGTCCTGCTTATAATTACAGAGAAAGTTTCACATGGCAAAAGGGTACCAACACCATCCTAGTCCAGCATCACCAAATCCTTGTGCTCTGAAGAAATCTGGCAGATCTTCGGTGTAGATTGTGAAGTCTAGAAGAGGGATTGTCCTACTGTGGGATGTAGCAAGGATCCTGGTGTGTGGATCCCTCCTTCAGCTCTGGACCCTGCCCTCTGCCTTGCTCTGCCCCGGTTCATGCTGTGCACAGTGGGAGTGAGCTCCTTCATCAGGCCACACCGACCCTCGGCCTCAGGACTTTCTGGCGGCTTCTCAGTGGAGTGGAATCCTGCCCCCTTCTCTCAGGACCCACAGTGGGACACCCAGTGGTGACTCCTCCCCCTGCCTGCTGACCATCAGTCATGCTGACCCTGTTTCTACCCCTTCACTGTGCCGAGCTGCTGCTTCCTGCAGGATCCTCACCTCTGTGTGGGGTGCCCGACCCCTTGTCGTTTAGATCACTTTCTCCACCAACTTCCCTATCTAAAGTTATGTCCCCAGCCTCACCCCTCATGGTTTCTCAGGCCTCCGACATCCGCTGTGTGCCTTCTCACCCAGACACCTTGTGTTTGTCAGTTGTCTGCCCTCTGATGGAGTGTGGCTCTGTATGAGCACAGCAGAAGCCTTATCTGCCAACCTCACACTTGTCCGAGGTGTTCTCTGCTGGTTATGAGTTTTGTGGTTAGTGAACAGCAAGCTATGACCTGTTTTGTGGGAGCTTTTCTTGCTTGTGCCAGTTGCTTTTCCTCCCCGCCAGGGGCTTTCAGCAGAACCCAGGCTCTGTAACGGGACCTTCTGGTGTTCTGGGCACCTAGCGCACGAGCTGCTGGAGTACAAGGTACAACGGGAAGAAGAGTTTTCCTAGGGGAGGGGACTGCCAGGGAGGCTCTGACGGTGAGTGGAGCCTCTGAGTGACTTGCAGGAGCTTACTACCAACCTGTAGGCAGTCCTGGGAATCAGGGAGGCGCGTGGGAGGTCGCCCAAGGTGACGGTAGAGGGTTGGTGGGGCTGGAGGTTAGAGAGTGGCCCTTAGGCCCAGCAGTCCCTTGGAGGGCAATTATCTATTATCAAATATGTTTGAAAGGCAGGGTGGCAGAGGGATATAACACACTGATGCACTGAAGGAGAGATTGCCCGTCTGCAGTGTTGCTTACGAGAGCTGTCCATCCACAACAGTCAGGTCCTAGGTGGACTGAAAGCAGGAGTCAGGAACTCCATCCTGCTCTCTCCCAGGAGTCGCAGGGACCCAGATACTTGGACCATCTTCCACTGTCTCCTTAGGTGCCTGAGCTGGAAGCTGGATCAGCAGCAGGACACTCAGGACTCGAGCCAGCGCTCTCAAATGAAATGCCAGTGTCACAAGTCATGGTTTAACCCACTGTGCCTTATCGCCCCATGGGAGGCTTTTAAACCAAGTGATGCAGTCATGGCTAGACTTAGATAGAAGTTGTTAAGATTGCTGGGTGGGGATGCCCTCTGGCAGCAGGTGCGGTTTTGTCTTAGGTGCATCTGGGATCCTGGGAGGTTGGGCTATTTGTTAGAGCTTTTTTTTTTTTTTTTTTTTTTAGTTGGCAAGGCAGATTTACACAGAGGAGAGAAAAAAAGATCTTCCATCCTCTGGTTCACTCCACAAGTGGCTGCAATGGCTGGCCAGAGCTGAGCCAATCTGAAGCCAAAAGCCAGGAACTTCTTCTGGGTCTCCTGTGTGGGTGCAGGGTCCCAAGGCTTTGAGCCGTCCTTGGTTGCTTTCCCAGGCCACAAACAAGGAGCTGAATGGAAAGTGAGCAGCTGGAACTCAAACCAGTATGCAGGGTGAGGATTTAGCCAGTAGGCTATCATGCCAGGCCCTCTTGTTAGAGCTTTTGGCTTAAGGTGATTGATTTAGACCTCTTGTAAAATATGATATCCCAGGAGAAAAGGAAATTGAAGGGATTGAATTATGTCTTGCTATATTTGGAGTCATATATATACACATTTAAATGTATATATATGTATATTTGTATATATTGTATATATATGTATATATATATACACATTTAAAAATATTTATTTAATTTGAAAGTCAGACTTACAGAGAGAGACAAGAGATCTTCCATCTTCTGATTCACTCCCCA